CCCGCCGGCGCCCGCCCGGCCACTCTTCGGAGCGCACATGAGTGCACACTCACTCGCGCACGCAGGCCGGCACACGCATCTTGCACGAGCACTCCCGCGCACACGCCTGTGCCCACGTGCGCACGCTCGCACACATGCACAAACCCAGACACGCGCTGGCACACTCACCGGAGAAGTTCGCGCACACACTCGGGCTCCCTGCGCCACCGGGAACCGACGGAGAGAATTGCCCGGTGTTCCCCAACTCCTCCCGGAGACCCAGGCCCCCGCCCCTGCTCCTGCGCGGAGCCCACGCTCTTGCTTTCCCTCCTTCCGGGGTCTCCAGGGCCCGACCACCGGCCTCGTTGCCATGGCGACGCGGGCTCGAATCCCCGGGTCACCCCCCCTCGCACATCCTCACGCCCCACCCCCGCAGAGGGCGTCTGGCCTCCCCTCCCTTTACCCGTAGGGGCGGGGCCTGAGGGGCGGAGCTTAGAGATCCGCAGTGAGCGAGGGGCGGGCGGGGGAAGGGGGTCGGAACCGCCGGGGGTCCCAGGCCTGGGACTTCCGGGCCCTGAGCCCAGGCTGGAAGAACTCACAGACCGAAGGAGCTGGTGGAGGTCCGAGGCTGTGACTTCCCCACGCCTCCGCCCTTTGGTTTTTCGGGCACCCCTGCTCGTGACCCAAGCCCCCCTCCCCAGGGTTGGAGTGCCCTTCTCAGGGATGGGATCTCCTCTGGGAATGCACCCCCCCCTCTACCCCTCAGTCGCCCATTCTGGCCCTCAGGTGGAAAGGAGATGCCAGCTGCCCCATGAGTGCTGCAGTTGTTCCTCAGTCTGCCGGTTCTCATCTGAACCCCGCCACCTGCCTGCCTTTGCTTCTTGTTCTCCTTTTCCCCACACTTGCCATCCCCGTCCCCCCACAAAAGTCTTCACAGTGGCCTTCAAAGCCCTTCACAGCCCACCTCCCCAATACAGACTTTTTACACCCCTGACCCAGGAGGAGACCCTCTCTCACGCTGCTTCTCTGCCTGGAAGACCTTCCCTTCTCTCCAAGGTCAGCCTGCCTCATCTCTTCCTAGGCGCCTGCCTTGGGGTGTCTCAGGCTCTGCTCTGCCCTGAGGTTCACTTGTCTGTCTCTCCCTTCACCAGGGACAGAGTGCCATGGGTGAGGCTGCCCAGGCTGGACCAGCACTAAGTTGGCTTTACTATTAAGGTGACTTAAGAGAAATAAGACCACACAACAATGAAAATACTGAACAGTACAATGGAAAATGGTTGACACAAATATTGTGTCAACTTTTTTTTTTTTAAGGGAAATGCAAACGCCAGCTATACCCAGACACCCACTTGTCACCTGCCATTTGGTAAAATTCAAAGCATCTATGATCACACACTGTTGTTGAGCCTGTGGGTAAATGACCCTGCCCCCTGGAGGCCAGTCTGGTGGTAGAAACCAATATGACTGATACACAACCTTTGACCCAGAAGTTCCACCGGCCCTTGAGCAAAGTAATAGAAGTTCAAGTTCTGTTCACTGCAGCATGTTTGCAATCACAGACACCTAGAAACAATCAGGATATCTATGAAGAGGGAACAGGTTCAGCTATGATATCATTTCCTGTCATGACACTTCTTGCAGCCACGAAAAAGGAAGTCAACCTGGATAGACGTCGTCACAATCTCCTGAAAAGCAAAAGTACGGCACAGAAAAAAAAAGTAAAGCAAAGTATGGCACAGCAGGTACAGAGTATTGTCCTTGGGGTGGAGGAGAGAATGTACACGGCTTGTTGATTTGTGCATGGCTTTTTCTGGAAAGCTGCACAAGAAAGTGATTATTATGGTGACCACTGAGGATGTCGTTGTCAGGGTAGGGTAGGGTAGGGCAGGAATAGAAAAGACTGATTTTGGGGAATTTTGAACCATGTTTCTATTTACCTGCTCAAAAGAATCCATTACTCTGAGTAGAGGCACCCCATTAGGTGAGGGGTTAAGGGTGATGCTTCCAGAGTTGGTAGATTTGGCCAGAGGATAGCCTTGACCTCAGTGCCACAGGTGGCAGGCCTGGGGTAAAAAGGAGGGGACCTGGACAGAGAATCCCCAGATTCCAGCTTTCGGCAATGCTGTCTCCCCGTGGGTGCTAGCACGCACCCACAGCTACCTCTGGAAAGCCTGGGTGAGGCAGGTGAGGATGAGGTTGCAGTTCCAGCCAGTTGCAAGGGAAATGGCAGACAGTACTGAGCCCTGATGGAAAGGCTCTTCATCCTTGCGTTAATTCGTAACTATTTGTGAACATCTACTACATGTGTTGGAGATACGACCATGGTGAGAGCACCAATCTCTGGCTTCACGGTCTCCTAGTGAGCAAGACAATGCACAGACCATTTAAATGCAGTGAAGTTGCTGTGGTGATGGGATGGTCAGAGGTGGGAGATCAGGTTTACTTTTCAGAGGAAGTAGTTTCAGCATAGAAATAATGAGTGGTTTAAGTGTAGGGACAGGAGTATCCTAAGCAGGGTTCTCCTTGGTGGTGCAAGGGGTTTAAGGCAGCACTTTGAAGCTATCTACAGCCGCTGCAGAAACTCAGTTCAATCCCCAGCCAGGGAGCTGACCCACATGGCGCAGCAGACCTCTCCTGTCTCATCTGCTGCTCCCCTCAGCAGTGTATTTCAGTTGATCTGCCTCTTCAGTTCTTCTGCTTCTTTCCCACTGTCTCTGGTGAATCCTCTCACTGCCCGCCCGCCCCCCGCCTGTACCCCAGTTCTTACATGCATAAATAAATGAATTTTTAAAAAAAGTATCCTAGGCAGAGAATGTGCAAAGTGGGGAGTAGTGGGAAGAACCAAGGTGGGGTAGGTGAACAGGGTGGGCCAGAGGCTTGCAGCTTAGGGAGAGAAGGGCAAAATTCACCCAACAATTGTTGAAGAATCCACTGGGAGGTTTGAAGGAGTGGGTTCCCACACTTGGCTTATTCTAGCTGGGGAAGAATAAGTAGGGAGACGTCATACTGTCCACAGGTTGTCGCAATAAGCCAGAAGAGACACAGGGCGGACTTGAATGAGGGGGCAGCGTGAGAGTGGGGTGTTGGGGGGAAGTGGATGGATTTGAGAATTATGTTGGCAATTGAACCAACAGATCCTGATTATGGGTTTGCTAGGTAAAAGGGAGGCCTGGCGTGATTCCTAGGTGGTTGTGTCTGAGGACAGGGGAGACCGTGTGCCGAGATGGGAAGAACGAGAGATCTGGCGTAGGAGAACCAAGAGCTCCAGTTGGGATCTGTTGAGTTTTGGATGTTTTGATCTTCTGGAGACATGAAGCAGGAAGTTGGGTAGTGGAGTCTGGAGCTCAGAAGAGAGGGCTGGTCTGGAAATATACATTTGTGAGTCACCAGCATATAGATGGTATTTAAAGCTATGAGTCTGGATGAGATCACCTTGGGAGAGTATAGATAGAAAGAGAAGGGCCTAGGCATAGCTGGTTATAGAAGGAGTCCCCAGACCTGGCTCCCTGCAGGTAGACTCCCCAAAACACAGAGCCAGCAGCGGGGTGGCAGGCAGATTTGGCAAGGGAACAAGTTATTATTGGTAGTTTGCTAAAAGAGGCTTCGGTGGTGTGGTGGAGATGAAGTCCGCCGGTCCAAAGACGGGTTTGAAGAATGTGACAAAAGGGAGGGCAGAGGCAGTGGTGTAGAAGGACCCTTGGGAGCTGTCCAGCTCTGTTCTGGAGATGCACAGTCCAAGTTTACCCCCCCCCCCGCGATCCCTGAGGCAGAAACCATGCCCTGGCAATTTCTAAGCCATAAATGGACCCCCAGCACCTAGCAAGAGCTCACCACATGTATTTAATGGTCTGGCAAATTAGTGAATGGATCATTCATTACTTGAATTAAAAGGACTTTTTCTGGTAGACCATGCAGCTGTATTCATTCGAGGCAACTGAGGGAACCACAAAATCAACTCCACAGCTAAAGGCTCTGACCCTCTTCTGCCCCTAAACACAGAGAGCAGCTGCAGGCAGGCTGGGACAGGATCCCTGGCCAGGGCCAGGAGCCAGATTCTCTGCTGACCCTCACAAGCCCTGTGACCTTGAGTCAGTCTCTCTCCTTAGAGAGACAGGAACCAGGAGGTGGCCCCATAGGTAAGTAGTTGGTGGCCTCTTTTTCCCTCCCTAGACTTTTTTTGGCTTAAGCAGTCGAAGCTGACCTGGCCAGTGCTTCCTCTTGTGGATGTGGGAAGTGGTGGGTTGGCCTTGAGTGCAAGAAGGCTGAGGGACGGGATCTGGAGGAGGAGGAAGGATTCCCATTGCACGTCAGGGCCCGAGAACTCATCCAACACAAACACACGCCCGCCCCTGCACTGGGCCTGTCCAAGGCTGCTCACAAGGAGCGGTCAAGGAGCCTCAGTGTGGAACACAGCTGTGACAAGACCTGCCAGCCAGAGAGGGAGCTCACGCTGAGGGGGCCACCCGGTGAGAGTGGCTGTGGGTGGGTAACGAGAGAAAGTGGGGACTGGTAAGGGAGTGGTGGGCTGGCTCTTGGGGGAACCCACCTGGAGAGGGCGCCCCGAAGGCTCTGGTATGACCGAGAGACCTGCCTTGAGATGGCAGCCCCTGTGCCTACGTTCCCCACACCTGACTCAACCTGTGCTAAGAAGCCAGAGACAGGCCCGGAGTGGGCAGGCTGTGCCTTCCAGGGAGAGGAAGACAGGGACGGCAGACTTGGGCGCTGCTGCCACCTATTGGACAACACTTGTTATTTCTCTTGGCTCCTAAACCAGCAGCATTAGCTGAGCACCAGCCACCAGGTTTGGGGGATGGAGATTCCTTTGCCCCTGAATTTGGGGACACAAGGCAGCGAGGGAAGCCTCAGGGAAGATAATACACACCTGTGAGATGTAAGTGCTGCCTGTTTCACTTTGTCCTCTGGCTTTATTTCCCTCTTCCGGGTGGCACTCTCAGGGGGTGATGGTTAAATGATGTGCCAGGTACTCTGTCCCAGGTGGAGGGGCTCACCCAGCACAAACTCATTTTTCTCTTGATAAGGGACAAGGGACCTCAGCACGAGCCACGTACATGGTGCAGCTGAAAGTTAGAGTGATTGGCCCTGCCCCCAGCCATGTGCCTGCTCTTCAGATGAAGACATCCTAGCTCCAGGCCCTCAGCAGACTGTCCCAAACCTACCAATTTATAGAGTTTGGGCTGCTGTGGTCACTGTGCCATCATCAGAATCATCCCTAGGAATGAAGATTCTGTGGGTCTCAACTTCTCCCCTTCTGATTTGAGACTAGGGGCGAAAGGATCTCAAGCTCAAGTACTTTCTCTCCTATCAACCTAGAGTGTGGTCAGAATAATGACTCTGGGCGATGACATCACAGAGCCCCCCATGTCACAGGAGTGGAGGATCATGAGGCTGTGGCAGTGGGCACAGGTGTGGGTGTGGCTTCTTGGGCCGGGGGTCATCAGAACAGGTGGGAAGCTGTCCTGCATAGTGGGAAGGAGGAAGGCGTGGGGAAGGATCAGTGTCCCCTTGGGGCCTGGGAGGCCAAACTTTCTCTTTCTCAAAGCTTCTCTCCCATCCTCCTTGTCCAGCAGCCCAGACTTTATAAATTGGAGGGTTTGGGACAGTCTGCGAGGGCCTGGAGCTAGCATTTGAAGAGCAGGCACATGGCCGGGGGCAGGGTCAATCACCTCTAGTAACCTTCAGCTGAACCACAGTAGCATGTACGTAAGCCCCTAGTGCAGAACTCCGCTGATCCCTGTGAGGAAGTTTCTGGATCAAAATCAAGTCCCTTCACGGCCATGCCAGGCCGTGCTGTCTGGCAGTGTCTAGAGCCTGCCTCACCCTCTTTGTGTGTGTGCTAGGGGTCAGGGGAGCTGGAGTCTACTGAGCTCCTGTCAGAAACTTTGCTCTGGGTCCCCAGCATCCAGTCTAGAGCGTGTCAAGGACTTCACGAAAGCTGCAAATTCTTCACACTTCATAAACAGACATGACTTTTTCGATTACCCAGACTCAGACAAAGCCAAGCTCCTGGCTGTGGCCCAATTCATTGGAGAAAACACTGTCATCTTTACAACCTCAGGTATGAACCAACTTTAGAGGGACCTCACCCATGGCAGGGCCTGGAGAAGAGCTGCCCTCGGCCCTTCCACTGGAGATGATCCACCTTCTCCGTCTCCCCCTCCTTGTCTGGCAGATTCCAAGTCTAAAATCTCCTATTACATAACGATGGGCTTCCTGGTTGTGGTTCTCCTCTTCCTCCTTTTCCAGCTCTGCACACACATGTAAGGCCTGCCCCTGCCCCTGGCCCACGCCCAGAGAGCTTGGGAGCAGCCTGTGACCTCCCATCTCTGACCTCCATACCCACAGGAGCTTCCAGAAAGGAGCCTAAAGAGCTGAGCCAGAGCCTTGGACTTGGCCCTGAGGGCCCAACCTACCCTCCTCACCCGGATAAATAAAAGTCCAGGTTTACTTGCCCCGGACTCCTTAGTGGTCCAGGTATCAGTGCCGCCGCTGCCCCAGGAGACCCTCCCCCAGCCCCAAAGAAACTGGAGAGAGGCCCCTGGTGGCGTTCACGCAGATCGTCTTTATTAGCGGTCTGTAAAGCACCTCCCAGGGTCCCCGACCCCAGACTGGAGGAAGCCTTGAGAGGTCTGTAGCACCAGGGACATGCCAGGGCCCGAGGGCAAGGTATGCAGCCTGATGGGGAAGGGCCGGGTGCCCCCTCGCCTGCCCGCCCGGGTTGCTCAGCACTGGGAAGGCTGGGGGTAGCAGCCATCTCCCTCCCCACACCCCAACAGACTAGTTTGAATTTGGGCAAATAAATAAAATAAATAAGAGTCTTCAGGCTGGCCTCCCCTGGAGAGGAGCTGTGGGGCACCAAACCCCAAGCAAGGTCCAGGGGCTGAGTGAGGGTGTCTTCTCCTCCCAGGTGGCGGGAGCTAAGAGGAGTTTGCAGCAGGGGCTGGGGTGGCCTTGGCAGCAGGATCTCCCACTCTTATTTGTCTCCTAGACCGCTCGCGTCCAGGTGGTCTCCCCAACAGCCCTCAAGCCCTAGACAGATGGAAGTGGTGCCCTTCCTCTGTCCTTCGCTTCTTCTGGGGCCCCAGGGTTGGTGATCCAGAAGGGGGTATGCAAAAGGCTCACGGCCTCAACTCAGGCCGCTGGGGAGAAGTCTCCTTCCCGCCTCCATTTCACCTGGTCCCTGGCCCTCCCCCTTCGGAGTTCAGCAGTCAGTCCTGGGCGGTCAGGGTGGAGACCCCGGACTCCCGACCCCCACCCGGCAGTCCCAGAGCCTGTCCCCTCTGGGGGGTGGGGGTGGGGGCTCCCTGACCCCAACCTCAGTCCTGTGTCTGACTGGGAGAGGGCGGCGGGGAGCCCCGGGGCCGGAAGAGGCGGCAAGCCCCGCGGCAGATGAGGAAGAACCAGTAGAGCTGGGGAGCGAGCAGGAGCGCGGCGCCCAGGTTGACGTGGGCCGGGAGGGCCAGCGGCACGGCGAGCAGCGGCAGGCCGGCGTGGCGCCCGTAGGCCCAGTACAGGTAGGGGAAGAGCAGCACCCGGCAGCAGAGGAAGCTGAGCAGCATCAGGGCCCCGTTCACCTTGTGCAGCAGCGTGTGCTGCCGCTTGTACTGCGGGAGGGCGGCGTCAGGCCAGGGTCAGGCCAGGGCGCAGGGCCGGCGCTCGTCCAGCTGCCCCTGCCCCCCTCCCGCGGGTGGAAGAGCCCCCCCTCCCCCCACAACCCCTCCCAGACCTGCCGCGGTCTCTCCTTCAGTGAATCCGAGGAGGTCTCTGTAGGATGCTGGCAGCTCCCCGGTACTCCTCACCACCACCCCCACCCTCACCCCAGAAAGTTTCCTGTTCCCTACGGTATGCTCTCACCTGGATGAGGATCTTGCCAAGGCAGACGAAGGGAGTGCTGACCTCCGCCATCAGCAAACAGCCTAGAAAGAAATCTCCCTTGCCCTGACGCCACACCTGAGGACAGGAAGGAGAGGGCTGGCCTCACCCTGGGCTCCCCCCAGGGCCCCTGCCCTCCCCCTGTCCTGTCACTTTTGGAGATGCTCAACTCTGAAAGCCTGGTGGGGAGCAGAAGCAAAGTGGGGAGCATTATCTCCGTGTGTCCCTGCAACAACCCTGCAAGTGAGACTGTGAGCCTGACATTAAGTTGAGGAACCAGAGGCTGGACAAGGGCAGCGACAGGTGGGAAGCTCAGCAAAGCCCGAGCCAGCCCAGGGCAGCTGACGCCAGACCCTCTGGCTGGCAGGGCCTGGGCTGGTGCTTGGAAAACCCTCCGGGAGGACCCTCCATCCTGGACCCACCCTGCTCCTCGGACATGGACCCAGGGCTTCCTAGGCTCCAGGATATGGGGGCTCAGGCTGTCAGCACCCCAACTCACCACGGACAGCGGGAAGCACACAAGCACCATGACGGCATGGTGGAGCACCATGAGGAACTCCTTGTGCAGGTAGCCGCGCACGACGGCCCAAGTGCTGCCTGGGGCTCCGGCCCCCCCTTCATCCCCTCCATGCCCCTTGACCTGGTGCTTGTGCCAGTGACAGAGGAACATGGCGTAGATGTCGTAGATGAAGTAGGGCACTGCAAATTGCGTGTAGGCAGAGGAAAGCCAGTGTCTGTTGAGCAGAGAGAGAGGAATCAAGGAGGAAAGGAGCCCGATGGAGCATCTGCCAGGTACCAGGCTGAGTCAGGTCTCAAGTGACACAACAACCCTGAGACGGAAGTGGACTCTCAGGTTACATGATGCGACTCAAGGGCAGAGGGCGAGATACTCAGAGATACTTGCTGAGTGCACAGTCGCAGGGCTGGGAAGCAGGGCGCTGGGATTGAACACAGACTGACTTCAGGACACCCCCACCCCCCATTTTCATAGTCATCCCCTCACTCATTCATTCATATTTTCTCTCTCTCTCCCTGCACTGTGGTGGGCGAAAAAAGAAAAGAGACCCCCCCCCCAAAAAACAGCCACAGACCAAAGGGAAGAGATAGAATGATCAAAGAAACTCAGTTAAGATCTGAGCACCTGCTGAGGTTAGGGCAAACACAGCAGGAGGCGCAGCAAGAGGCGAGAGTGTGGTGAACGGTCTGACTAACCGTGATTTGCTCCATGCAGGCATTAGTCTCATATTCCAAATCTGCTGCACACATGAATGTATTTACTCCCCACAAAAACCTTTATAACAACTAGGTGTGGTATCTCCCCCATATTATACACGAAGCGGAGCAGCTGGGTAATCTGGCTAAGGCATAAACAGAAGTCTGCTTCATAGCCCTTACTCTCAGCCTGCCTGTCCCTAGAAAATTCCAGACAAGTGTCCCATATGGGCCCTCTGATGAGTTACTGGTGCTGTCAGTGCTGCCTGTTCTGCCTGGATGTGGACCAATCGCTTGTTTCAGGTATAGCCAAGCACTAGGAGAAAACGCTGAGCAAAAGGAGCAAAGTGTAGAGAAAATTCTTTGTACTTGGAGAGTTAACAGAAATGAAAAGTGCACGGATAGGCAACATTGCCTTTTTCTTCGTGAGTCATCACCTGGAGCACTTTCCCTTAAATTCTACAGTCCTGCGACAGACAGGTCTGATGTTGGGGTGGGAGGTCAAAGAAGCAGGCCAGGGGGACAGAATTCACCCAGTTAGGTGGAGGCATGAAAGCAAAGTGACCAGAAGCGACACAGAAAAAGAACAAAGACCAAATATTGAGGAGCAGCTGAAGTGGTGTGGGACCTGGGGAGAGGCAGGCACCGCAGGAGGGGGGTGTGATACAGGAGAAGAATGCAAGCCCTGGGCCTGGAAAGGCAGCCCACTGTGGCAGGGAGGATTTGGGGAACCAGAACCTGGGACCTAAGCTGGAGCATGAGAGGAGGAGCAGAAGAGGGAAAGGAAAAGGGAGCAGCAAGCTCAGGTTAGAAACGAAGAGCAGGAACATTGGCAGAATGCAAGTGCAAAGGGTCCACGGGCCAGAGAGAAGTTAGAGTGGGGCGTGGCCAGAGAGCCAGCCCCAGCAGACACAGTGGGACTGCTGCTAGTGGGGAGAACAGACGGACAGGGTCCGCACTACACTGTGAAGGGTTAAACCCACCCCACCCTAGCAATCAGGTGCTCAGAGCAGGAACAGCTGTTACCCCTGGATTAATCCGGATCTTCCCCAGCACCTGAAGATTAAAGGGGAAGGGACAAGAACAGACCTTCGAGAAGGCAGTGAAGGAGCTGGAGGTGACCTCTGTAAGAAGGCAAGAGGAGACAGCTAGTGGGAATCCAGGCTCCTCTTGGAGCAGGGGGAAGGGAGGGGATAGAGAGGGCGAGAAGCAGCCAAGTCACTGTCGCAGACAGGGTCTGAAGAGGCAGCACCCACTGTGTGTGTGAGCCAGAATTCTTTCTCACAGCAGCCCTTTGGGGCAGGGAGGGGCCTTAGTCCGCAGAGAAGTAAACTTATCTGCAGGGGAAGAGGGGGTCCTCTAGATCAGGATCCTCCAGACAATATCCTGGGGCTCAGTGGCCACCAGAGAAAAGAGAACAGGGTCAGAGTTAAGTATGGGACGTCATCAACACCCTCACAGGCAACCCTGCAACCACTGGCCACCTACTGCTGGCCCGTCAGCACCACGGACAGGGCCTCACTCCCCGGGCTGCCCCACCTCCCAGGCCTGGGCTGTTCTGGCAAGCACCAGACACTGCAGCGGCAGGCCAGTGCCAGATTTTGGCCTCTTCACCCTCCCCTCCCCCCACCGCCTAGCTGCTGGTGGCCTTGTTTGTGTCATCTCTCTCCTCCCAGGTTCACAAGCTGGGGCTGGACACCCGGATTAGGGGGGGAGCAGTGAGCCTGGCAGGAGGAGGAAGCACCCCAGTTGGCTGCTGGTTGGAAATGGGACCTGAAGGGTGTAAGGGAGGGAGGAGGTAGTAGAGGAGGTAGGAGAGGAAACAACATTCAGAACCTACTACGAATCCAGAGGCCAGGAAGCCAGGAGTTGCTTTGAGAATTCTTTTTGATCCCCACTCCTTCTCCTCCTGGCTCTGACCTTTAAGGACAGGACATGGATAAATTTATCCCTGGGTGTTGAGTTGCAGCTACTGCAGTTAAGTTGCTCAAGCCCAAGTTAAAGGCTAGGGGACCACTGAAGGAATCCCCTAGCAGACCTGGGGTGCTCGGGGTCACACATGCACACGGGCTGCGCCATCTGGACAGAGACACTCTCTTGACACTTACTGGTCATCAATGATGTGCTTGCAGGAGGTGGAGACGATGTAGCCAGCTGTGGAGGCCATGACAGCTTGGACTGAGGACACTAGCCTGGGGAGACAGAGGGAGGAGTGGTGGAAGTCCAGAGCTGAGCCCGCCCGGGCTTTCTAACTCTTCACTAGTCCACTGTGCTTCCAACTTGGCCACTTCTTGGGCCACTCCCTGCCCATCTTTCCTTGGGCTCACTCACCCCATCACCAGGGCTCCCAGACTTGCCCAGCAGCTACTCAGTCCCCCCATTCCTAAACTGCCTCTGCCCTACCATCAGTGTGGACACTGGGGCTCAGGATCTAAGGAAGACGCCAGGGAGGTCATCCTGAGGTGAGCCAACTCAGAGACTGAGAGGCTGGCTGAGAGCAGGGCCTCTCCTGGGAGGGCTTGGGGAGAGGCAGCACGGGGTGGCTGGGGGGCCCTGGGCTCTTCCTGCACCACTGGGCTACCCAGTCACTGTGCTGGGCTCAGCTGAGCCCTCAATCACCCCAAGTCCCCCTAGCTACTCTCCCTGGCTCCTGGCCTGCCACCACACACCCCTCCCCAACTCTAGCCCTTATTCCAGGGTTGAGCAGAGCTCTACCCTCCCTCCTCTGTCCGCCCTTGTCCTCCCAACACGCGCCTGAATAATACTAATACGTGGCTCTGGCCCCTGGTCTTGTCCCCTCACAGCTTAGAGAAATGTTTTAGTCACATGCCGGCACTGTCTGGGAGGGTGAATGGGAGAGAGAAAGCAGGCTAATACTAGTAGACTAGATGGCTGGGCTTGGATGAGGTCTCCTGGGACAGCGATAAAGAGGGAAGCTGGAGGTAAAGCCCACCGACCACGTTGGGAGACCCCAGTCCCCACCAGGCCAAAGGTCCAGGGAAGGGCTGGGGTCCCTTCCATCCTCACAATGCCTGAGAAGGGGAGAGGGGCCGAGGGAAGGATGCAGTTTACCTGGCTGAGACAATGACCGCGTCGGCCTCCTCCCAGCGCAGCTGGGGCAGCCGCTGGAGCGTGTTCTTGGAGAGGAGGAAGAGTCCGGGGAACACCACCCCCCCAGCCACCATTGGGGTCAGCATGGTGGCTCAGGCCTGGGGCAGGGACAGGGAGGCCGAGCTGAAGGGGGTGAGAGGTGGGGAAGGGACTCCCAGGCCGGGAAGGAAAGAGAAAAAGAGAAAGGGGCGCGAAGGGGGCCTGGCGGGGATGGGATGGGCCAGGGAGTCAGACCACTGGGAGGGAGAGGGAGTTGGAGGAGGCTGGGGAGATGGGGAGAGGGAGGGTCTGAGAAAGGAGCAGGAGAAAGCCAGCCAGAGGGATGGGAGAGAGCTGAGGAGGGAGGACTTGGTGAGGGGACAGAGGGAGAGGGTAGGGAGGAGCAGGATGCAGTGGGGGAGGGGGGAGGCCGGGCAGGTGGGGAGGGAGGCTTACGTGGAGGAGCTGGGAGGGCCCGAGAAGGCGGGGTGGGGGCTGGGGGGTGGGACTGTGGTGCCAGCCCTGAAGGGGAGGGGGAGAGGGAGGGAGGGAGGGGCAGGAGACAGAGGAGCGGCCAGGCAAGTGGTCATTAGTCAGCACTGCTCTCCCGCCTCCTCGGCTGCCTCTCGCAGCCACAGTCCCCGCTGCCGGGCTCCGAGGCTGCACGGGGCATTATAGAGACTTCGTGCCCAGCCCCCTGCCCCCTCAGTGGGGAGGGGGAGGGGGAGGGAATCACCAGCTGGGGGAGGGTGGGGGAGGGGTGGGGAAATGATGGCACCGACCAGACACCAAGAAACCGGACCTGCGGCAGCGTCTCCCCACGCAGCTCTGAGCCACAGCGGCGGCTGCGACAGAGAGGGGGGGAGCAGAGAAAGAGGGAGGGGAAGGCCCTTAAAGAGACAGCAGCAGCGGCATCGGGGGCTGCTGGGGACAAGGGCCAGGGGAGGGGCAGGTCTGCTCGCAGGAAGGAAGCTGGGTTGGGCGCCCGGATTAGCTGGGAGGGGGCTCGGGCTCCCAGATGGGCCAACCCAGGTTCCCCCTAGCACTTCGCAAATGTCTGTCATTCCTTCTCTAGCCTACACCTCCCAGAGTCCCTGGGTGCCCTGATGGGGTCCCAGCTGGGGAATGCCCACTCCCGCAGAGCAGATTCCCTGGAAGAGGGAATGAGAAATCAGCACACCTCACTGCCGCTAAAAGTCAGTTTAAGGATGAGAATAAAACCCTGCCTTTGCACCCAGAGACCCCTGTCCTGTGTCCCTCCCTCCCTGGGAAAGAGGGAAACTAGCAACGTTTGACGCTGGGTCCTGGCTTCACAGCAAGGCTGTTCCTTGTCCTGATCTAGCTATTGGGACAGCACTGAGGTAAGGCTCTGCCCCTTCTCACAGGTCATGACATGGGCTGAGGCATTAAGTGACCCTGCCCAAGGTCACATAGTTGAGGACTGGCAGGAAGTGTCATACCAGATGCCAAAGTGGCTTCAGGGTTTAAAGGGGGGTAGGGAGCAAATGCAGCTTCAGAAAATGCACCCCTGCCCTGTCCCCCAGGCCACCTGACTTCTCCTGGCCTGCCTAAGCCCTGGCCGCCACCTTTTGGGGCAAGTATTCTTGTGCTCCTGACGGCCCTTCCTCTGTGACTTCACAGAACAGCTCAGACTGGGAGCAGTAGAAGATCCGGGCATTAGCTGGCTGAAGCCCTTCATTCAGATGTAAGGAAACTGAGGTCCAATGATCTTTGGCCAGGGTCACACTGCAGGTCAGAGGCCAAGCTCCAAGCTGCTGGGCCCCTGCGGCTTCTCACCCCTTCCCGCTGTCTCCCAGTAATTCAACTTTCTTTTTCTGAAACCAACTGACCTGTGGGTTTCTGCATGACATGGTGCCTGCTATCCAAACCATACTTTGGCCTTCAGACCTGCCCTAAGATATACCTCAAAAGCCAAATCTGCAATTTCCTTTGCCTACTAGTCGGGGCCATCTCCCCAAGAAAGGCAACAGGGCTCGGAGTTGCAGTTTTGTGCTGCCCTCTAGTGGCTGTGTGAGTCAGTCCCTGCAAGGTCTCTGACCTCTGGCAGCAGTTAAGAACAAAATTTTAGAGACTGAAATTGTAGAGACAGTAGTGAACTTCACTGAAGGGGCAAAGGGACCCAACTTCCTGAGTATCTTCCATGTGCCGGGCACAGGGTGAGGTGATATATTAATTCTTATTTAACCTTCCCTTGTTTGATGGATCAAGTGAAACTTAGTGATTTAAAATACAAAACTTGCCCAAGACTACATGGCTATGAAAATTTCCAACCTATGTTTACATAACTTCAGAGCTAAATCAAAGTCATGAAAAAGTAGTGACCTTGGGGAGAATGGGGGGGGGGGCGGTAAGCTGCCTTCACTACAGCTGGCCCTAGAGTCTGGCTTGACTTTGTCGGATGTGTACTAAAGCAGGCAGAGATGGCATTTTTATGTTCCAGGAACCCACCTAGACACCCACTCCCTCTCCTGCCAAAGGTTTAAGGATATCTCAGGTGACCTTTATCATAAAGATCAGAAATTTGCAGTACAAAGGGCCCCAGCCAGCCTATAAACTTTGTTTGCCCGTATAGTAACTTTTTTAAAATTTGAAGTCATTTGTCAGTGTTTGAAAATCAAGAGATTTCACATAAAACTTCTTTCTACTTTTAAGAGAAGATCACACACACTAACTCCATCATGCTGGCTGTGGTGAACAGGTGCTGCCTCCACTAGATGAGACGAGCGCGAGCCCCACAGATTACTTGCAGGAGGCTACAGACCCTCAACATCTCCATGAAGAAAGGAAGGTGGGTATTCTTATTAAACCCTTTCATAAAAGGGGATCCAAAGTTCTGAGAGGCTAAGTGACTTGCAGCATCCATAGGACACCCCTAGCCAGAGTCCTTTCACTCTGAACCTGTTCCCCCAGGCTTCCCCCCACCCCCAGCCTCTCCACACACACACACACTCTACTTTTGTTCTTACCAAAGAACTCCCTAAAGCAGGAATTAGCTCCACCAGCCCTGGCCCCTCGAAGGATGCCCTCACCCTGTCCTCTTACTTGGATGCCACCAAAACAGCCTGTGGTCTCTCCATCTGCACGTTGGCGTGGTGCTGCAGGCTCCAACAGAGGAGAGTGAAGCTCAAGGGGAAGAAGATGCAGCCTAGTACAAAGAGCAGGGCCATGCCTGTCTGGGGTGGAGTGAGAAAAGATGACTGTGACAGCATCTCGGCACAGTCCCTTGGGCTCAGAGACCCCCTTCTCCCTAGCCACTCGGTGGTCCTTAGCATCCCTCCATCTATAACATTGCTTCCCAGTGTCTCTGGGATCCTAGTTGCACTTTTAAGTTCCCCTCACCAGAGGCTATTGGATATGCTAATTTTTTATCAGTCCAATTTCATGAGTTTCCTTCATTTTCTCCTGTTACTCCAGAGGCTGGTCTACCTCCCAGTTCATCGACATTCATCTCTGCTCTCTTGCCTTCAACCCTCATGCTGTGCCTGTTCTTGCCTAACACCACCTTGCCCCATCCTCTGCCCCTGCCTCACAAACTCTTGTGTCTCCTCTCTTTTCCCTGTAGATCCTCAAATTTCATGCTAGGCCTCACCTCTGAGGGCCAAGGTGAAAGCTAGAGAGAGAGACTCATGAGTCCCATCAGCACTCAGAACTTGGAAAAAGAAAGGGGTTGTGTGTTCAAATTGCATAAATATTTGAAAATTTAAAATATTTCCTTAAAAAGACAAAAGTCCAATTCTCATATATATATATATACATATATATATAAAATAACCATATGGGAGAAACCCTGAAAAATTTTTTTACATATATACTATCTTTGTCTGGAAAACCCTCCCCTCCCCTCCATTCCAGGGAGGGGAGGGGGTGGGGGAAGTCCTGGAGGGATGAAGAGAGCTGGAGCTGGCCATCCTGCGCCCCTTAAGCAGCTTTGAGGGGCCCCTCTCAAGGTACAGGGAAGATGTCAAACTGCAAGGGCACGAGGAGGCTGAGGTAGCTCTGTGAGACAGTTAGAGAAGGCGGGAATAGCACCCTCCATTGGCGGCCCGGTGGGCGGTTTAAAATACGCATCCCCCATTGGCCCATCTCTTGACCTATCATTGGCTCCTGCAGAGAGGCCGGCTCTGGTAGGGTTAGGGGTGGGGCCTCCTGGCCAGCATGGCCAATTAGAATCTGTTGATGCTTCGATTGACAGTTAGGTTAGTTACATGGGCGGAGCTCAAAGAGGAGGGAGCCCTGGAACCAGAAGAGTGTAAGTAGTTGTTGCTTTAAACACAACAGTATAGGGTAATAGTTAAGGCAGTAATTTGTAGTGTGGGGCCATCTGAGCTTTAAATTCAATAAACGTACGGCATGGTTCCATTTGAAGTGCAAAACAGGCAAAATTCCTTCGTTGAAATATCAGAACAGCATTTAACTCACTCCTGGCAGCTACTGACCAGGGAGGAGACCCCAGGAAACTTGGAGGTGCTGGGATTACCCTTCTGTTGATCACAGGTATATACATACATAAATGTTCTTAAGCATATGCTTAAATGTGTGCACTTTATGTAAATTAAGCTGGAGCTTTTAAAATATTAAACGAATGTAGGTTCACTCATGCCCTGAACCATGGTGGGCCAGTCTCTGCAGGCTCAAATCTGTGAATCTCATCAAATGCTTGGATAGCATTTTCTATGGACACCGGGCTAGCTGAATACTCAAAAATATTAAGTCATTTCCGCAAAACAACTTTGGGGTAGGGAATTATTATTGTATACATTTTACAAATAAGAAAAGGGAGACATGGGGCCCTCCATGGTGGTGCAACAGGTTAACGTGCAGCACTAGGAAGCTGACCACAGCCACTACTGCACGAGTTCGATTCCCGACCAGGGAGCTGACCCACATGGTGGAGCACACCTCTCCTGTCTTGCCCACTGCTCCCCTCAGTAGTGTATTTCAGTTAGTCAGCCTGTTCTGCTCCCCAGTCTGTCTCTGGTGAATCCTCTCACACACAAGCACCTCTGGCCTATACCCCAGTTCTTGTATGCATAAATAAATAAATCTTACAAAAGGAAAGAAAAGGAAGATATGCAGAGGTTTAATACCTTGTCCAAAGTTACATAATTGGGAGGTGAATGAGGTAGGATTTTTAAAAATCATATATACTGAACATATGGGTTTCTATAAAATTAAGCACATATAGAAAACTGAAACTCACTTTACTAAAAGAACTGAAAGGTTAAAACAAATAGAACTAAAATATCATTAACCATCACTGAATAAATTTAGACACTTCAGTCACATTTTCAGAGCTTCTATCACAGTTTTGCTTTTTTAATATTTATTTTTATTTATGTATACATACAAGAACTAGGTACAGAACAGAGATGTGGGTGTGAGAGGATTCACCCGAGACAGAGTGGGGAGCAGAACAGACAGATCTACTGAAATCCACTGTGGAGAGGAGCAGCAGATGAGACAGGAGAGATCTGCTGGGCCATGTGCCATGTGGGTCCCCCCTCTCCCCCCCCAGATGAAACTCAGGCTTCAGTGGCTGGTGATTGCTTGATAAGCTGAGACTTTAACCCCTGCACCACCAGGGAGGGCCAACAGTTTTGCTTCTTTAACCACTTTTTTACTTTCCTTCTGCAGAGACCTCCAAAAATTAAATGTTAAACCAAGAGCATGTAAAGTTATTGAAGATGAGGTTTCTAGTGGCCCAATCACTTTGCATGTTCGCCTACTTCCTTATTTTCTTGGGCACTGAGATGTGGCTATTTAAAACTTTATTTTCCAGCTTCCCTTGCAGCTAGATGGCTGGCCAGTATGGTACAAACAGAGTTATTTTGTGGAGTTATGGGGAAAGTTCCTCTTCAAAAAGGAGACAATGCAGTCCCAAAGAAAGAAGAAATGTAGATACTGAAGGGAGGCTTGAAGCCAGGCAGTGTGTCTGTAGTCTACCCTGCTATCGTCCCTGCTCCAAATGAGCCCCGAGTAGCCATGAGTTGGCTCACTTGGAGCATTAGACAGAGCACAGTAAACTTCTTCACATAGGAGTGGGGGCCTGTTAACTGTATTCAAGACTTAGAAATACTAATAAACTTCTGCTCACTTAAGCATCACTTCAGCTTGATGGATTCACCCCTTTTACAGCTGAGAAAACTGAGACTCAGAAGTTTGGCGACCCGTCCCAGGCTACTTAGTAAATGGCAGAACTAGTGCTGGGGTAAACTGTTGTGTTCACCTTTGGGAAGACAGGTGAGGAGAGGGGGTTCGGGGGACGGAGGCAGGAGTTAGGAGGAGCAGCAACCGGTGGTACAGTCCCTGTGGCTTACCCCAGAGTGAGGATGGAGGGAGGATGGGGAGAGTCCTAAGCCATGAGCTAGGAAAGGCGAGGCCAGAGTTGAACTGGAATCGGAACGATCTCCTACATTTCTTTCCTTTGTTTCGGTTTTCTTCCTCAATCCAGCGCCATATGGGCTTGTCTGTCAGAGAAAGGATGAGGGGAAGAAAGAAAAACAGTGGTTTGGAAAAACAGGTTCCAGCTTTCTTTTATAGTGAGCCACATGAGCTACCTTTTCATCACTCAGCACAAACTGAACCCAGAGGTTCTTAAGACTTACAGATAATTCTCCTGTGTGTTGTACATATTCCATATCTTTTTTTCCTCCCCAAATATGCTGGTCATGACCCATTAAGCTGATTTCACAAGCCACAGTGGGTAGCCACCAAGTTGGAGAGCAGTGTTTCTCAACTCTTTCAGTATTGCTCTCCTTGGGAGACTTTTTATAGATTTTTGTTTGTTTGTTTCCTAATCACCACCCCTCATGAAATTTTAGTAACACATATAGATCGTGTATCTGTGCTTTATATATTAAAAAGAGTAAGAATTTCCTGCCCCCAAGAAGCAATTTTTGTCCCCATCAGGGTGATATTACCCTGTTGAGAATACATTGGTGACATCATACCACTTTTCCTGAGCCTCCTCAGTACATACATCTGAACACTCAGTGAGGTGCATTAACTCATTCTGCACATGAATAAGCCTGAGCTAAGAAGTTCCATAAATCATCAAAGTTTGAAATGGCTGGTAAGTAAATTGGGAATCCAAAAATGTACCAAGATCCTAGCTCAGCCTCTTAGTTATCTATTTTAAGACTTGTTCCCTCATGGAAAATGGTGGGCTTCATCTAAAAAAGTGTCCCCTAAACCTTGGGATTTTTTTCTTCCCTACTGACATCATAATAGTTAACAGAACAAATACTTGTTTACTAGATGTCAGCCCCTAGTCTGTGCCCTCCACATAAACTAATGTAGTCCCCACAAAAGCCTAAGAGGGAGATGCCATTGATTCTTTTGCTTTGCAGATGAGGGAATTTAGGCATAGAGAGGTTGTGTGGGTTTTCCAGGGTCACAGAGGTAGAAAATGGCAGAGTGGAGATTTGCTTTCCTTTTTTTTAAGATTTATTTTTATTTATACATACAAGAGCAAGGGTGTACGTCAGAATTGGGGGTGGTGTGAGAAGATTTGCCAGAGAGAGTGAGGAGCGAACAGGTGGATCTATTGAAATACGCAGCTGAGGGGAGCAGTGTGTGGGTCGGGAGAGGTCTGCTGTGCCATATGGGTCACCTCCCTGGCCTGGGTTCCAAGGAACTCAGGCCTTAATGATGATGGTACTGAAACTTAACCTCCCTTAGGCCACAAGGGAGGTCCTAAGTATGTACTTTTTTTATTTTAAAGATTTACTTATCTATGCATACAAGAACTGGGTTGTAGGCAGGGGTATAGATGGGTGAGAGGCTTCACCAGAGACAGAGTGGGGAACAGAACAGGCAGATAGATTGAAATACACTGCTCAGGGGAGCAGCAGGCGAGATAGGAGAGGTCTGCTGCGCCATGTGGGTCAGCTCCCTGGCTGGCTGGGATGGGAACTTGTGCTGCAGAGGCTGGCGATAGCTTGACAGTGCTGAGACTTAACTCCTGTACCACCAGGGTGGCCCCTAATTATGTACTTTAAAAGAAAATATTTTATTACTACTGAAAGTAGAAAGCAGTGTCAGTTCTTATAAATGGAAGGTAACAAAAAATACACAAATGAAAAACACTTGTTCTAGCAATCAAGCTAGATATCATCCCTATCTGAATTCTGAGCTGGAGGCCTGCTCTCTCTTTGTTAAAAGATAAGCATGGATAGAGAGGTGTTAAAGGGCTTCTGGCAGCAAAACTCATTTTCTTTCTCCTGGAACAATTCAGAAGTGTGGAAAGGGAACTGGAGAGAGAATGACTGACTTTCGGGTATGTGCAGGCGCTTTCTTGGAGGGCTGGAGGAAGGATGGGGACCACCTGAGTGAGAGGCCAGATGGGGTGCCTTTCACCCCACCCACCTGGCGGAGCACCCAGCCCTGTGGTGCTGAACTTCCCAGCAAAGGGAGGCAGACCAGCAGGTGCTGGTGTCGGGGTATAGCCTGCTGTATGGGGGAGCATGGGGTGCACTACCCAAATGTCCAGCCAGTCTCACAAGCTGACGCTGCTTTCCCTAGCTCCACAGGTGAGAAGCCCCCACCCCACCCCACATGAAGTCTTCACAGACCTGTCACACCGTGGGCCTGGCCTTTCTGTTCTGCTACTTCAGCCTCCTCTGTCCCCGTGCTGCGCTCATCCTCTTTACCCGGCTGTAGCCTCTGAGCCCTTTGGGGTGATATCATTGAAGGCTGTGAATAAGTAAACAATAAGCACCCAGAAGTGGCCTGTTTCCCACATGATACCCAGGGAAGGGTCCGATTCCCCTGCCTGAGCTCTGGGCAGAGTCCTGGCCAGCCTGCTACAGCATTTATAATTTAGTGCTTTTATTGTACCTCCCAGACTAGGTACTGTTCCAAGCAGGTCCAGCCCCACGCTTTATCTGGACAGTAGAAAAAGCCGAGGGGTCTAACAGATGAGCTAGCGTCAGAAAACTAAGTGCCTAGCCCATATTCTGTAGACGCGCTGTGTGATCTTGGTCAAGTGTCCAAACCTCTCTGACCTCAGTAGCACACACACAGTCTCACTGCCTGTGCTCAAAGCCTGTTCTGTCGCTCAGAGACAGAAGAAGTTGTGGCCATGATTTCACTCTCCTGAGCTTCTCTTCTGTAAAGTGGGGACAGTGGGCGTCCTCCTACCCAGGGCTGCTAGGATGATTGAACGAGGGTGTAGAACACAAGTCCAACGTGGTGCTTTATAACGTCACCCTGGCAGCCGAGTCCCAGGCTGCCCTCCTGTGTCTGTGAAGGCATCTCTCTGACAAACCCTTTCTTTTCCAAAGCAGCAGCAGCAGCAGCAGCTCTCAGAGGCCCTTGGCACCTATGAAGCTGCCTCATCCCCTCCCCTTACCCCTTTTCCTAATAAACCTGTCCTTTAAAAATGTCACAGTCATTGTGATCATCATGAAGAGCTGTTCTTTTTTTAATGGATACTTGTTCCATGCCAGACACTCTACAAGATACATCCTGTGATCACCACAAACACCCTGCTGGGCTTTTAGGTAATACCATGTTCCAGATAGGGAAGACTGAGGCTCTGAGGTCAGTTGACTTGCCCAAGATCATGCAGACACACAGTGGGAGAAGTAGAATTCAAACCTAGAGCTGATTCTAAATTTCTCTTTCAGTCAGGTCATTGTTTTTCATCTCTAAAATGGAAATGCTGGCTTCTGCCACACGGGTCTACTGTTAGGATTAAATAAGATAAAGTCTGTGAAGACTCTGTCCTGATGTTTGCTCTAGCTCAGCTCAGCTTTGCAGCTTATTCCCCCAGGGTAATTTCCTAAGCAGAGGCCTTTCATTTTCATAATAAGGAGTCTAGTGAACCTCCTCCTAGTCTATGGCAGGCCTTATTGTCTGATGTCCATAGGAGGGGGCTGGAAGTGTTAGATCAAAATCAGAACTGCCAAGTTCTTTTCCCACGCCCAAGCCCAGGCCTACTGCAGCTTCTCATCTTCTGGGCTTTCTCTGCTTCTCAGGTCTCCCCTCCACCCACATTGACTGGGAAGTACATCATCTTTTTCTCTCTCCCAGGGGAAGAAAAAAACTGCATGCAGTGCTATCTGATCACTCAGCTTTGAACTTTAAATAGAGACTTTGTGACTATCCAGCTATGGTAGAAGCCATTTACTCCCTACCTCCTACAAAGGGTGTGATGTGGGTACCACTGGGGTCCTGGCAAAGTGGGGCTCATACATCATCCCTCCTATTGACTTACCTTGCATCAAGCAGGCCTGGTACTCTGTCCACCCTCCTGCATAATGGATGAGCCCAGAGTAGGAACAGAACACCATCAGCAGTGAGTCTGACCACTGTCCAGAGGCCTTGCCAAGGCTGACGTCTCTGTTGGCCAAAGCTGAAGAGAGGATTTGAGGCTATGTCACTTGAGGCCTGTCCTGGGGCTGAGGTGGGGACTGACCTCACTTTGGGCCTCAGGATTCTGCAAAGAAGGTAGGAACAAACAAAAAGACAGCCCCGAGCAAGCAATCTGACCCTGTCTTATAGTCAGTGATGAGAACAGCTAGACTCCTGTTGCCTGGGAGAGGCTTGATGTCCTCTCCGAGAGGACTAGGAGTGGCAGGGGAAGTGGCTGGGACTCTGAGTGTGGTTGAAGGTGGGAGGGGCGATTTGAGATCCAGGATACAGACCCTGGCAATTTCTGTGGCAGCTTCGTGGTAAAGACAATCCCCAGGGACGGCAGGCAGCTGGGGTGTTACGCATGGGAGTGGATCACTTGGACAAAAGCAGGTATGGGCATCACTGCTTTCAGAAGAAAATGCCAGGAAGCAGCAGTCAGGTATGAAGTCTGCAAACTCTGAGTGTGTGTGCTTATATGAATGTGCCTGTGTGTGTGGGCAAGCGTGTGTGTGTGTAGAACTACGAAGGGCAGGCATGAAAATGGGAGGTCGGTGTGCCTTGAGAACAGGGACTAGGGCATTTGCTGGTGCTAGCATAGGACTCAGTTCATTCATAGAATCAGTGACTACTCAACGGAGGGCCCACAGAACAACCAACTGCTAGGGCTTGGGATATGGAGGTGAATCAGGTGCAGATACCTGCAGTTATGATCCGGGACGGAGGCACTGAAGTGCAGAATTCAAGTGCCTCTCATTTGTGCCAGAACCCTATGTTTACAGTACAGTATGTCCAAAACAACCCCCTCTGCCAGAAGTTGGCAGAAAGTTCTCCCAGAGGCAAAACTGAGCAGAGGCTGGAAAGATGAGGAGGGAGTGGAGGGGGCAGGGAGAGACAAAGGGCGTTGCTCTAGGCAGAGGGAAGGCATCTGCGAGGTATGGAGCTGTGAAGCCCGAGATACAGGTTCAGGTACACTGAACCGACCTCGTGGTGGGGGCTGGGAAGAACTGATGAGGCGCTAAATTATTGGCTTCTCTGCTCCCCTCCCCCAGGGGCAGGCAAGCAACTCCGGGCAGGGCCTTCGTGGGCCTCAGAATTCTGTTAGAGACCCGAGACCCATAACCCACAACCGAGAGCCGAGTTTGGCACTGAGGGATAGGTGGTGGAAAGAATCGCAGAAGAGACAGGTCTCTGAATGGATGGCGTTGACAGCTGAAGCATTAGGGTTTTAGCCTGGAGTCAGCGGGGAGCCTTTAGAAGTTTAAAAATAGAAGGGGAACAGCTCTAACAGGAAATCACTTTGACAACGACATGACATGACGGCTGAAGAGACCAGATGGTGAAGACAAATCAGGGCAATGGCAGTAAAAATGACGTGAGACCAGCTTGAAAAAATATTAAGTCTAACACCGAAGAATTAACAAGTAGCTTGGACTTTTTCACTATTCCTAGGGCAGGCTTTCCCCTGTTTTACAGAGGAAATGGACTCAGCGAGGCTCAGCGATTTGGCTGCCGTCACACTGCAAGTGGGTGGCGCGGCCCGGGGGTGCGGCCTCCCCTTTGTAGTGCCGCAGCACCCCGCCTATGGCGGGGGTCCGACCCAGGCGGGCGGCGGCGGCACAGCCCCGCAGAGCGCGGCGAGGAAAAGCTGGAGGCTGCAGACGACGCGGCGGGAAAGCAGGGCGGGAAGGAGTTTGGGTCCCGGCGGCTGCCGTAGGCGCGGCGCTCCGGTCTCCACGGCAACGGCGCGAAGCAGCGGGAGGCTTCTGGACCGTGCCGCCGCCACCGCCGATTGGACCCTGCGCGGCGCGGAATCCGCGAACTGCCTGCGGCCCCGAGGGTTCAGGTGATAGGGATGGGTGGAAATCGGGGGGTGGGGACAGCGGAGGTGTGTGGCCTCGGCCCGGCTGCTGCCTGCGAGAGAGGCGCCGCCCGACTCAGCGGACCCCCAAACCCCCCTGTCCGAATCCGGAGCCGTCGCTGGGCCTCAGTTTCCCCAAACGGGACATGGGAGAAGAGTGGGTACCGGCCCAATGGCCTCCGCCCAGCTACTGAGACCCAGGACTCTCTCCTCTGCAGCTCCTGGACTGCCTGGCGCTGTCCTGCCGCATGGATGTGAGTTCCGGGCCCCGTCCTCCTCTGGGCCGCCCCCTCTACGCCTTACGCGCCCTGTCTTGCCTGCCCTGGAGCCCAGACTGGAGAGGGGGCTCTTTACACAACGTAGACCTTTCCAGCTCAGGACAAGAACTGTGAGAGAGAGCCAGGAATGGACTTCCCCCGGGAGGGCACATTCCTGCTTTTTCTGGCAAGACGAGGAGTCTGCCAAGTAGCCAAAAAGGACAGAGGAAGAGTGGAGGCTGGGGGGTGAGGGTTGGGGGGGAGGGATGAGGGCAAGTACTGAGGCATTTCAGGACACCTTTAGGACTTCATTATGGCTGGAGTGTAGGGTCTGGGGGAAAGAGAGGTAAGCAGGACTAGACCTTTGTCATTGAAAGAAGTTTGAACTGAGCCAGTGAGAACCACTGATGGATATATAAGAACAAGTTGGTGTGGAAAGTGGTATAATTGCTGGTTGGGAGACAGTGGCCAGTAATGTGGGCTGAGGGATGGTAAAGTAGTGGCAGTGGAATAAGAGGCATTCTGAAAGATCAGTAAGTCTTGGAAAAGTCTAGAATGACCAGCAAGTCCTGATGATGCTGAAATAGGGATGCGGAGGGAAAAGGTAGTTTTGGGAACAAAATAGTGTCATCCCACTGCTCCCGACCATCTGGTGGCTCTTCCTCCCTTTTTCCAGCCACCTCTGTGTCCCTCCTGGTATTTCTGTGTCCCTGCTTGTCACCCCTCCCTCCTGTTCTTGTCCAGGCCTCCTCTAGCCCGTGGAATCCAACCCCAGCTCCTGTCAGCAGTCCTTCCCTGCTGCTCCCCATCCCCGCCATCGTCTTCATCGCTGTGGGCATCTATTTGTTGCTGCTGGGCCTAGTGCTGCTGACTAGGCATTGCCTGCTGGTGAGGGGCCTGATGCGGGTGAAAGGTGGGATCTGGGGAGAAGGAACCTGGTCATTGTGTCTCCTCATCTGCAGCCTCTGACCCGAGTTGCCCTTGCTATGTACTCCCATAGCTGTCCCTTTCACGGGGCCAGGCAGTCCCTGCTCTCCTGCCCCTCTCCAAAACCCGAGTCTTGACTGTCCCTGCGCCTGGTCCAGATCTTGAGCCCTGCCATCTCTTAGGCCCAAGGCTGTTGCACAGACTGCAGCTCCCCCTGCAGGAAGCAGGGGGCCTCCAGGCCCCAGGACTGTTGCTGGACCTGTGCAGAAGCCTGTGACTTCCCTTTGCCAAGCCCAGCCCACTGCCTGGATGCGTGCTGCCCCCAGCCTTCGGAAGCTGTGAGTTCTTGCCCCTTTCTCTTGAACTAAAGAGACCTGAGCTAGGTGTTTTTTGTTCACTGACATTTGTTACTGAGCATCTACTCTAGACCAGACATGGTTCCAGGTACTAAGCTAGGTGGAAACAGCCCAAAACAACATCTCAGATAAGTTTTGGTGATAAAAGCTACTTGGAGGAAAAAAAAATTAGATGACAGTTGGAGAAAGGTGATAGGTGTGATGGGGGGCACATAACTGCTTCTGCAAACAGTCGTTATAAGAGGAAACAGCCCCTCAAGAGCGCTTTCCCTCACCGAGTGAATGCTGCTCCAAAAACCTGTGCCCTTTTATTGACTTCCAACCACCCTCACCCCAGCATCCCCAGAGCTGGGGATTTTAACATATACATATATATCTGCTGACTGCAAAACCATTACTTCTCAAGTGTTCACACAGAGACACATGCAGAGTACAGGTCTCTTTATCAAACAGGTGTAGCCCAAGCTTGCTAGGTGTTGTGGACGTCCCCCGTGTACCGATTCACAGGACACTCACCACTGTATTTTACTATTACGCGGCAAAAATAGGGTCATATCACTTATACTACTTCACCACAACTGCTACTCGCCCCTTATAACTTGCCTTCACACCTTGGCCACCTACCTATTCATGCCTGAACAAGTAGATGAGTATTTTTCACCTCCTTTTGCAGGGGAATAAATTGGCTCATTTTGCCCTTGAGCTGTCTTTTCACAAAGTACATTAAAAGTCTCTGTTCTTCAGTATTTTTATAGTGACAATAACAGCCACAAATATCATAAAACTCTCGCCTGAACTTCACAGTTGTAGAAATAGAGGCCTACAGAACTTATATGTTAGAGTGACTTGCCTGAAGCTTGGGCAAGGACCTGCTCAGGCTGCTCCGCTAGGGAGACTTGCCTGCGTGCTTTCTCCACAGGCATGCTGTAGGGATCAAATTCATTCATTCGTTTCTTCACTGACCAAATGTTTATGAGTTACTGTTGAGGCACTGTGCTGGGCCCAGGGACTCAATGGAATTAAGCTAGACATGGCCTGACACCTCCAGGCTTACACTCTGGTGGAGGACAGAGAGAAGTGGGAGGCAGTTCCAGTAGAGGGTGGACAGTGACATGATATAATGCAGTGGCTGGTTCTCATCCCTGGGTGTGATGAGAAGCAGGTATCAGGCTTAATGGAATCCAGACATCCAGGCCCCACTCTCAGTAGGTCTGGGATGGGACTGGAGTTTGTGAATTTTTAATGGATTCTCTGACACCCAGGAGGGTTAAGAACTTCCACTCCACAGAAGTAGGGCTACTAGGACAAGACCCTCTGCTATGGCACTCACCATGGTCCAGGCATTGTGCTTCGTTCTTTTCAAAATGACTTCATTTTGGAGATAGTATAACTGTTTCAGAGATGAGGACATCAAGGCTCAAAATATGCCTTTGCCAAACCTGGACCTGAGAGCTCACTGGTCAAGATGGCCACCCTTCACCAAATCAAAATGAAAGAACTCACAGGGAAAGATGGCAGAGCCTAGAGAAATGTCAGAGTTAACAATCTGCGGAGGCCTTGTTTAAGGTACTTAAACAGCAGATTCCTTCCAGAAGCCACTTGGCAGCCGGTGGGAGTCAAGATAGCCATTAGCCAGTTATTAATGATGAGATTGAAACCCTTCCCGTGGAGAGAGCCAAGAAAAGCTTTTAATCTTGCCGGAGTGGAGGGCAGCAGGGCCTCGCTCAGTCACCAATCCTGCACACAGAATAACGGTGGGGCCTCCACAAACCCACAGAGCCAACTTCATCTTCAGACGAACTCTCCATCAATGCCCATCCACACGCTTACCAAACACAAGGAAACCACTTTGCTTTCTCCCTTCCATCAGGCTTCTGGCCTCCCTGATCCAGCACCAGCCTGATTTAGTGCCCTCTTCCTGCAGTCATGGATTCCCTACCCCTCACAAGAGCCCCAGTGACATTTGATCTCAGCAGTCATCTGAAACCACACCCCAAAACCTCAGCTGTTCAAAAGGTCATTTCCCTATTCCTGGCTTGGCCTGGTATCTGAACTGTGCAACTGTGGCTGTCACTAGCTCTGCCCCCAAGGAGCCAATCTTCTGTCACACATCCTGGGTGCGTCCAGTCCAGCCACTTGGCCAGCTTCCAGTCCATGCCTGAAACAGTCACATATCATTCTAGTCCTCAGGCAGGAGAGGAGTGGGTTGGAGTGGGTCCGTTTTCCCTCTCTCCAAGGACAGGCTGTTCCTGTTCCCCAAGAAACAGACCTTCTGTTTCTCCTTGGGGCTGAGAAGGCCTCATTCTTCTTTGCCTAAAGAGGGAGAAATGATATGCTTTAATTCATCCATTCATTCAACATCCATTACTGAGTCCGTGCACTAGCTCAGTGAAGATATGAAAGGAATTGTCCTTGACCTTGTAGGCTCAGAAAGAGGTATTTCTGGGCCTGAGAAGTAGTGGGTAAGAACTAGAAACAGACGGGACCAGGTCCATCCAGCAGCATTTCTGTGTTATATTTCTTTGGGTAATCACTCCCCTTGCTGAGCCTCTCCCCACTACAGGTCCCTTTATTTTATTTATTTAGAGATTTATTTATTTATGCATACAGAACTGGGGTATAGGCCAGAGGTGGAGGATTCACCAGAGACAGAGTAGGGAGCAGAACAGGCCAGCTAATGAAGCACACTGCTGAGGGGAGCAGGCAGGTCAGGAGAGGTCTGCCACGCGATGTGGGTCACCTCCAGAGATCGAACTCATGCTGAAGTGGCTTTAGCTTCTCAGTGCTGTGCCTTAACCCGCTGTACCACCAGGGAGGGCCCAGGTTCCTTTATTTTTTTAAAGATTTATTTATGCATACAGAAAGGGGGTACAGGCCAGAGGTGCAGGGGCAGTGAGAGGATTCACCAGAGACAGAGTAGGGTGCAGAACAGGCAGATCAACAAAGTACACTGCTGAGGGGAGCAGTGGGTGAGACAGGAGAGGTCTGCTGCGCCATGTGGGTCACCTACGGGGCCAGGGATCGAACTTGTACTGACGCAGCCACGGCTTGACTAGCTTCACAGTGCAGTGCTCCAACCCGCTGTGCCACCAGGGAGGGCCGTCCACTACAGGTCCTGATGATTAAAAGAGCAATATTGTTTAAAACATTTTTTTTCTAATTTAAATATGCACGTTATCATTTTCTTTTCCCCCTTCAATTTACTGTTTGCAAAGAACACTTAGAAAGCTTTATTGCCATTTAGGAACATGGGTCTGTCTGTACCTGGCACAGAGTAGGTACTCAGAAATGAACAATGAACGAGATCCTGCAGTTTGGTCTCAGGCAAAGAAGAAATCCCAGAACCAACAAGGTGTTTTCATTGTAGACAGGAAATGTTCGTGTGCTTTCTCCATCTACTGATTTTCAGTGGTCTGGGGCCACAAGGTTGTAGTAAAACCAACTTTGAGCTGGGATCCTTGAGCTCTCAGGGACCAGGGCCAGTTGCTCTCTGGGTCTCATTCTCCTCACCTATAAATTGATAAAATGAAAGAAACCCCTGAGTAATTTTTTCTAGCTCCTCAACTTGGTTATTTGAAACAATGCCTCCTCGCTGATTTCTCAACAGCACAGAGAATTGCTTCCCCCAAAGGGTGGGCAGTCCCCTCTGTTCCACTGGGCAGAGGGACTTCTCCCCTGACAAGGAAACAGCGTAGTGCTCTGGTCCCCCTCTCCTGCTCACTCAGCCCTTCTCTCCCCCAGGGCTGGGCCCCTCGCTGCCCTCGCTGCTGCCCTCTCTGCGACTGTGCCTGTGCGTGCCAACTTCCTGACTGCCAGAGCCTCAACTGTCTCTGCTTTGAGATCAAGCTCCGATGAAGAGTCATTGCTGCCCTTTGGGGAGTGGCCAGCCTCCGGGGCACACATGCCCTCTTCCCTGAGGGGCCTCAGGACACCTTTTTCCAGGCAACTGGAACCACAAATGGCGGGCCCAGCTCACCAGCCTGGGAAGCAGCAGTGGAGAACCTGGCTTCCTGCAGAGTAACACAAAGAGCCTTTGGCCAGCGGGATCCCAGCCCCTTCAAGGGCAGAAGAAAGAGGGGCAAGTGTGCTGGCAGGTTCCCTGCCTTCCTCTCCCCTCCTCCCCCTATCCCCACCCCCAAGCAAACTATAGCTGAGGACAGGGGACTCAGTTCACCAGCGAGAGCACTATGGGAGAAATGTGGGCCTTGAGTATCAAGATAGAGGGATGCCCCAGCCATCCCCCATCCATAGGCTCTGCTATTTTGAGGGTATGACTATAGTACCTACATCTGCTCTTCCTCTAAAGAAATGGGTTCTAGAGAATCACAACAACCACCAAGGGACTCCCCAAGGGTGGGGGGGTCAGTAGAGGGCCCCATGATCTGAATCCTTTACCCCTGCTCCCCTCCCCACAGATCCCTGCCCAAGTCTAGAAGTGAGTGGGCAGGGGGCTCTCCCCCAGCCCTCAAATAGGGCAGCTCTCTCCCTCTTCCCTTGCTTTGGGCCCCAAGCTGACATGAATGTCAGGGGCTCCCTCCTTCTTCCCTTACTTTGGGCCCCAAGCTGGAGTGAATGTCAGGGGCTTCAGGTTTCCCTAAATATAGGTCCCAGCCAGAGGATCCATGGCAAAGAAAGGGCAGGGGTCACAGGAGAAGGTTGGGCACATTGTCGGGGGAGGGCAGGAGCTGCCTTATAACCCAGCCCGGGTGTGGCCTGGCTCACTCACTGCTGACCGGGCTCTGCCCTGCTGACCAGGCTCTGCGGCTCCTACAGCCTCCTCCCAGGTGGGTGCCAGCAGGACAGCAGGGGTGGATTAGGAGTGGAGACTTGGTATCTGGGAGGCCGACCAGCGCGGTAACGAATTTTATTTTGATATGAGGGCGACGTTTTGCATAGTCCCTGTCCTAGCGTCCCAGGGACTTGCAACCCAGTGTGGCTCTGGGTGGTGGCCGGCGCTTCGGGTT